GCCCTGCTAGGAGGCGCTTCGCTGGTAGCCGCTTGGCCCTCCCTGTTGCGAACGTGCTTGTGGATCAGCCCTCGGCTGCTCCCCTGATCCGCCGGGTGCGCCATCTCCGCCACCCATCACTTCTGTTTGAGCGCCTCCCTGCGTACCGGTCGCTCCGTCATTGGGACCATTTGGCCCCTCCGTCTCTCCTTGCGCTGGCAGCTGATTCGTGCCCTACCTAAGCTCTGCTCCTTCCATCATATTCGAACTTCTTACTCGCGTGGGTTCCTCTGACACTAATTCTCTTCCCGACCACAATCGCATCGACGCGATGATTGCTTGTTTGTAAGATCAGACCCTTCCTAACTCATTCTGACTGCGGATATGGCTTCGCTCCAAACTGCTTATCTCAGAAAGAAGTCACAGTAATTTGCAAAAGCAAACACGCAGTAGCAGTCCCATGGCCCAGGGCCTACCCATATGTTTCCCTTCTCATCCCCTAGCTAGGCAACGCTAACAATCGATGGTTGTTAGATCTACCTAGCTAGCCATCCACTTTGTTGCTCTCCCTGCCTCCAGCTGGCGTTAAAGCTTGCCAGCTCCTCTTGGACTCGGTGTCTGCACAGGAAACGAAACAAACTCATGCACACCATACCAGCAACATTCGCAAGCACACCCGTACGCGTCATCTTGCTGCCAATACGGTTTCTCTCCACCCTCCCAGCTCAGCCCACCACCCCAAGGTCTCTCCTCCTTGGTGTTGCTCACAATGCCGAGTTGCCCGCCTACCGTCGCCTCAGTTGTTACTATACCCCGCTTCCAGACGCCTCACTTATGTACAAATGTACAAGTTTCCCCAAGCATCCCCGCGCCTACACCCACTCTCAGTACTTCTTAGGCATGATACCTTAGAAATCTGGCTGTCAACTTCGCCATGGTCGGCCTCACCGAAGTCAGTTAACCGTCAAAGTGGGCTAACCTCTTAAGTCGGCTAACCGCCGAAGCCGGCTCTGCCAAAATCGGCTCCTCTGAAGTCTGATTCATCGAGGTCTACTAACCAAGCCGACTTGCTCCTCTAAGTCGTCGTCGACCACGAAGCTCAATTGGTTGTACACTTTGCATGCCGAACAATCAATTCTGCTTCGCCCAAGCGAGAGTGGGGCCTTTTTCGTCTTGAACCGACACGGGAAGTGCAGCAATAATCTCTCGACGAGACGGTGTAATAATGTTTTAGGGATGCCGAAGAATGTAGACAAGTCAACGTATGACAAACCATACACAAAGTACTTGATCGGAAAGAGCATACAGAGTTAAAAGGGGATGTCATGTCGTTGCACAAAGATGATTATTGGATGCATCATTGCGTCGGTAATGTAGTCCAAGGTCTATCGGTTTATGCAAAATATATCTAAGAACTCCTCGTATGACATCATGCGAAGTTCCTCTTGCCATTCCAATATGCTTGTATGACGGCGACCGTGACGCACTGCACGACGCTCATTTGTCGATGAGCTTCTTCGCTATCTGAGAGTGTGATGGAGGATTTTGTACGCCCTTGCAGCAGAAGCCACTCTTCGCAAGATTTCGCGACCGTTGCCAGAAAAACATGCGTTTAGTAGGCGTATAATAGTCGCAAGATGACTAACAGTACTACGGCGACCATAAAGTATGTTTCACGTGTTTGAATAACGTTGCGCCACTTGCCATTTTATGCCATGAACATATCAAGCTTTGAGCAGCTATGGGGCATCTTGCAGCGTGCATGTATTGCGTGGCAGAGAATTCAAGCTTGTTCTATGTCGATCTATTAGGCGGTCGAGGTGGTCATTGCGTTTACGTCATCAATAGTGGGATACTCGTAAACCTGGGCAAGCTATGGATGGTAGACGTGAAGTTGGTTTGCGGTCACAGGCCAGTTATACATAAGACCCGGTGCCCCTTTCAGGGGTGACTTGCTGGTTGGATTCTGACGCGGTCAAGCAGCGGCCGTATTGGTGGGTCTCGCGGCTTCGCGATTGGATGGGCTGGTGATTGCCGGAAGTTTGCCCAATGTGCCCAATATTGACACCAGCCTGCACACAAGTCCACATAGTATCGGTGCTTCATACAAACCAATCTTGATACCAGCATGGGATACAACCTTTAACCTAAGAGAACATTCGGCAACTACCTAACTGTTGGAGAATCGAGATTCTGCCGCCCCAGCCCTTTGCACACCAGCAGAAGCGAGGGGGAATGTCGGCGATGGATCAGAGGCTTCGCGAAATGTTTCGAAAGTTCCGCCACCAGTCAGATTTCAGCCGAAGACTCGATACAGTTCAGAGCTGCCTTCAAACCGAAGTGTTGGCAGTTTCTACAGGTTTCCACACGTCAGAATCAGCTATAACAGAAATATACAGAGCTTTCTTATTCATGCACCTCATGTGGCTCTCAAAGTCACTCAAGGTCCATGGAATCTGAATTGTGCCCAAGTTCCCAAGGGAGTTGCCTTGTCTAGCAGCTTAGTTTGAGTTATCAATCTGCATGTTTGTAATGCTTAAGAAGTTGTGCTTGAGTGGGCTTGTATCATCTTGAACATAGTGAAGTTTTCTCTTATCCAGCCATTTCCAGCAGCCCTGCTAAGACTTTCCAGCCAAGTTTCTAGCCTTCTAGTAGTCACAGCTACTCTGTTTTACAAGTCTAACTACGTAGCTATATCCCAAATCGGAGTACGGTTTTCTAGTTAGGGCGCGTTCGTGGCCGGTGTCTAGTTTTCTGACACGAAGCTTTGACGGTATGGATCTGGACATGTCAATAGTCACGAGGATATGGACTGATCGAAATCATTGAGACCTTGTGTCAGCAAGAGTGACAAAGGCCAAGAACGGGCCCTTAGGGCGTGTCCCACGAGCTCGCTTTCAGCCCATGAATCATTGTTCAGACTAGTGGATCGAGGTTCAAAGCGGTGGAGCAAAAAAACTGCTCTACAATGGAGAGGAAACCCTCTCCACCGCAGAAATTTCACCAAAGTTGAACTCGTGGTACATGCCCTAAGCGCCCCTTTGAACCCCTTCTCACCAGGCCTGAAAGTGTACCATGTGCAGAAACATCCGAATTGTACGAAATGCATTAGGACGCGGCACCTGTTTTCATTTTGCCAGGATCGGGGCCTCACATCGATCCTGACACATCGATCGGCACACCGATGTGCCCACACTCAAAATTTGCTGTCGGGTAGACACATCGAGCTATAGGTGCCAGGATCGAAATTGCAGGATCGGGCAGGCTGAATACACCAACACACTGCAACGCGCAGCCAATCAGGGCAGAGCGTGGTTGGTCGCCCAGCAATTTCATTCGCAACGACTCGAGAATTTTTGGCCTGCGACCGTGGGCGACGCCGATCGATCGCGGCTGTCACCTGTGGCTCGATGTGCTCTACCGCCAAACCAAAAGCACGATCGATGTGCATCGCGACACATCAAACGAGCGAGCTGCAGGTGCCACCAATTTGGGTACCCGTTTACTGTACATTCTCGTAGTCACGCGAAAAACGGATACCACGCATTGACGATGTCGCCAATGCACTGTATAAGCGGCACATCGATCCCTCCTACGATCAATCCTGGCAAAATGAAAACAGGACGCGGCACCTCTAGGGAAATTGCCAGGATCAAGGGATATCGGGGCCTCACACTGGTTTAGGCATATCGATCGGCACACCGATGTGTCCACACTACTGATTTGCAATCGCCTGCACACACCGAGCCACAGGTGACAGGAGCGAAATTATCTGGGGCAAAATCGGCCGATCTCCACAATTACACGATTGATGTGTGGGCTCTAGCACATCGATCGTGCGAGCCAAAGGTCCAACCATTTTGGGCACCAATTTACTGTACACTTGCGAGGTACGACGAAGCCGGATACCAGACTGTTGGCGCTGTCGCGATTTCACTGTACACGCCAGGATTGATCCCCACTCAGGATCGATCGTGGCTTTTTTCCCTAGAGGTGCCGCGTCCTTAGTTTTGACCCCACCAGTTCGTATATCAGTGCACTGTGTTTGCAGTCTCCGAAATCGCAAAGTACCCTAGCAAACCATACTGAAATAAAAATAGACCGCTCTCCCAGCACTATTGAACCGCGTTCGGAAATGCTTTCCGAGCACACCCAAGGTTTCAAATCCTTCATGTCCACATCTGGACCAGACTAGATATGCAGTGTCCTGCTGGGCGTTGAGCATCCCTCACCAAGTTCGCGTATGGCATGGCTCTGCCCGCTGCTGTCGCGCTCGCGTGCCTCGCGTTAAATCTCTCATCTTGCCACGTATTCAGTGCCACGTGGCAGAAGGACGGTCGTTTCGCGGTTCCGACACCATGGGAACCAAATGCAAACTTCGAAACTGTCGATTTTACACTAGGGGACGACCGCCACGAAAAATCCGCGAATGGCAAAATGTTACACGGGAAACGGTCGCCAATGCTCGAAAGAGACGGCGAGGAGAACAGGATCGCATGCGGTCGCGCATTGCGTGATTGGGCTGTATCCGCTGTGCATTCCGCTTCTTTAGGGATTGCCGAAACAGCACCAGGGTCTCGCTTCTGGTCCGTGGTTCCACTCTAAGTGCATGCCTCCCTTTCCGAGCGTCCCTCGAGCAGCTGTTTAATTCCGTATTTTGTCTTGATTTGCCTGTGGTCATGCTTCGGCTCTTGATTTGCTTTTGGTCGTGCGTCTAGTCTTTTTGATGTTACTCGTGTTACTGCTGCTCCACTGTATTCGTGCTGCTGCTAACCAGCATTGTACTGCATATCATAGCTCCGCTGCTCGGAATGAAACGCAATTATCCGGGACAGCACGAGTCGGGAAGAGAGAGAGAGTTTAGCAGACGAGACGAGGGGAGAGGAGTGGGCATGGGAACAAATGCCACGTGTCATGACACAATATGACTTGTCCTGGCATGGAATGGCATGTCCTGGCATGGAATGGCATGGCATGGCATGGCATGGAATGGCATGATATGGGGTTGTATGTCCCATCAGCTCCTCTCACAGAGCATCATGCTTCAGACCATGCAGTGGTATGGGTCAGTCGCACAGGAACAATGGCATGCCTCCCTTTCTTGCCCACCTCTCTAACTCTTGCCCTCGTATTCTCGTCCTCGCACCAGGTGCGTTTCCTTACATTGGGTTACGTGCTTTGTTCCTCCCAGATGCGTTCGTGTCCCTCCCTGATGCAAATTGCTCCGCGCCGATTTCACTATCTCCCACCCCTCTCCACCACCATCTCAACCCCTCCTATCACCCCACACCTCACCCACGACGCTCCAACATTGTGCCTATTGCATGCTTGTTTCCTCCGTAGCCCTCCCTCCTCGCTCACTCATCTCCCTCTTCTTTTCCGCACACTCCCTGTCTTCAATCCTTCACCCGCCCTCTGCCTGTCCGCTGTCCTTCCCCCCATGCTCCTATCCCACGTGTTTTTTAACCTCACTGAAGGTTCCACTCTTCACCACCTGACACTTGATGCACGGCGAGGGGGGAGAGAAGGGGGAAAGAAAGGAGCACGTTTTTTTTTTTTTTTGTTTTTTTTTTTTTTTTTTTTTTTTGTTTTGTTTTTTTTTTTTTTCGTTCACCCAACAATCTCTCGTGTCCTGCCCCTTCTTGCAGATTCCACCCTCCACCACCTGGCACTTGATGCATGGCCGGGGGGTAAAGGAGAAAACGGAGGACGAGGGGCAAAAAAAGGAGGAAAAACATGGAAAGGTGTGCCACAAAGAGGAGAGGAAAAAGGGGAACACGGAGGAGAGAGTATCAGGGCAGGAGACTGGGTGGCATCAGAAGAAGCATCAGAGGAACTGGAGCGAGCAGGCAATGGGCCGGGGTCTTCTTGCTCCTCGGCCCTCCCTTCTCTGTCTCCCCCAGGCGCTCCCCTCTGCCCGTGCGTCCCCAGTCCCTCTCGACATGACTCCGTGCCAGTTGCTACTCTTCAGGAGCAGCAGCTGTGTGTGATGATTCCGCTGCGGCCCCAGCGCTTCAAGGGAGAGTCTAGGTGAGGAGGGTTGTGGGAAGGAAGGCTGCTTGTTTTCAAGGAGGGGGAGGGGTGCTTGTGCACACAGGAAATGAAAGATGTACTATTGTTTGTTTGTTTGTTTGTTTGTTGTTGTTGTTGTTGTTGTTGTTGTTGTTGTTGTTGTTGTTGTTGTTGTTGTTGTTGTTGTTGTTGTTGTTGTTGTTGTTGTTGTTGTTGTTGTTGTTGTTGTTGTTGTTGTTGTTGTTGTTGTTGGTGTTGTGTGTGTGTGTGTGTGTGTGTGTGTGTGTGTGTGTGTGTGTTTTTTTTTTTTTTTTTTTTTTAAATTTATGTTATTTCCTTCTGGTGATTGGTGTGGATGGCGAGGGGTAAAGGGTGTTTTTCCATAGACTTCTTTGTAACATGACCTTCTTTGGTGTGTCATGGCAATGAACCATGTGTGCTGTTATCGTCGCTCAGTGTTTGGTGTATTGCATCTAGATGTCACATCCCCTCTTGTCTCCCTCCTCCGCCCTATGTGTGGATGTATTAACTGTCTGTCTCGTTTGCAATGGCAGACCAGCCACTGATGCTAGTAGGAGAAGCAGTGATAGTAGCAGCAAAGGCATTAGCAAGAGCAGCAGCAGCAGTGAAAGCAAGAACAGTGGTAGCGGCAGCAGCAGCAGGAGCAGCAGAAGTGTTAGCGATAACCAGAATGACAAGGCAGCCACATCACGAAGTGAAAGAAGCAGGCGAGATTCAGAGAGCAACCACAGCAGCAGCAGCAGCAGCAGAAGCAGAAGTGGCAGCAGCAGTAGCAGCAGCAGCATTAGTGGCAGCAGCAGCAGTAGTAACAGAAAAGGAGGTGGTGGGGAGGAGCAAGGTCCCAACAGTGAGGTTAAGAGGACTCTAGACATGTTCCTCTCGGCTGCTGTCCGACTGGTGTGTGCACGCCTCCATGTCGTCTGTGCATGCATGATGCATGCCATCTCCTGCCAAGCTTGCCATTCCACCCATGCCATTGCATCCTTATTATGCTGTGCCATGCCATTCCAGGGTCCAGCCATGCCATGCCATGCCATGCCATGCTCCTTGAACCCCTTGTTCATATGTTCTTGGTATTGTGTGCTGCTGCTGCTGCTGCTGCTGATGCTGCTGCTGCTGCTGCTGTCGTCACATGTGATTATCAGTTTTGTGTGTATTTGTGTGTGCTCTTGCTCGTGAGTGACAGGTGATGCAAGGGGAACATGACAAGGCTCTTGAGATCTTCGATAAGGTCAGTCAGTCAGTCAGTCAGTCAGTCAGTCAGTCAGTCAGTCAGTCAGTCAGTCAGTCAGTCAGTCAGTCAGTCAGTCAGTCAGTCAGTCAGTCAGTCAGTCAGTCAGTCAGTCAGTCAGTCAGTCAGTCAGTCAGTCAGTCAGTCAGTCAGTCAGTCAGTCAGTCAGTCAGTCACTCACTCTGTCACTCACTCACTCTGTCACTCAGTCAGTCAGTCAGTCAGTCAGTCAGTCTTGTGTGCGCCCGTCCGTGTCCTTGCATACAACATCAATATGAGTTCAATCACTGGAACGTGGTCGCCATTTCCAAGGCATACAATCGTGCTCACACACACATATATCCATACACTCGCACACACCTGCGCACACACATATGCACACACACATGCACACATGTGCGTTCGCACACCCACACAAAGTCACTCACACACACACACTGACACTCACACGCTCAAACGTTCACCCCCACCCACACTCCCCGCGCACAGGTGTTGGAGCAGAAGGTATTCACGGACCATGCTCTAACATACCGTGGGACAGTCTACGCCCTCATGCACCGATACCAGGAAGCCGTTGCTGACTTCACCAAGGTGCCCTGCATCTTCCTCCTACCTTCCTCCTTCCGTCATGCCTTCCTTCCCCATGCTTGACTTGTGCCTTCCTCGTCATGTCTCGTGCCTTTTGCATCCGTTGCGCCTTCCCCTTCTGCTTGGCTCACTCATCGATGGATGATCCCCTGTCTGCATCTCGTAGTTCTGTATCACTGGCATCAAAACCACTTCTGCTGATGTATAAGTCAAGAAAATCAAGACTTTACCATCAGCACCTCTTAGCAACACCACGTCTTTTTTCTCTCATCTCCTCCCGTCCCTCCATCCTGCTTCCCCTCACCTCCTCTCTCCACTTCTCCCCCATTCTCCTCAATGCCTTCATCTCTCTCTCTCTTCGCCAGGCATTGGAGTTCAATCCAGACTTCTATGAGGCCAGGAGGAGGCGCGGACAGACATACACAGCCATGGGCAGGAATGATGAGGCAAGCCCCCTCACCCTGTGTCAAAATGAGAAGTGTGAAAGAAGAATGACGAAAGAGAGAGGTTTCACTAGCAGCAGTTGGGGTACATATAGCAAACCCTAACTGGGTTGTACTCGCTATAGAGCACCCCACTACAGGCTAGATAATAACATTCTGACACCCTGATCCTCTGATCCTCTGATCCTCTGATCCTCTGATCCTTTGATCCTCTGATCCTCTGCTTCCCTGCTCCTCTGCTTCCCTGCTTCCCTGCTTCTTTGCTGCTCTGCTTCTGTCCGCGTGTTCACTCAATCTGTTACCGCTTTTGCCCATTTGATGCCCTCTTCCCTTTTTACTCCTGTCTCCACAGGTCCCCTCTCTTCCGCTTCCTCCCTCTTCGTCTTTTTACTCCCGTTGCGCGCTCCCTCTATTTTCTTTCCAATCCCCTTCGTCCACGCATGCATGAATGCATCCACACATGCACGCATCCATGTGCTCGTCTGTCTGTCTGTCTGTCTGTCCATGCACGAATGCACAAATGTAATGGTGGGGGCAGCATGCTGGTGCGTGCATGTTTGTGCCTCGTGAGCGTGTTTTGTGAATCCTCAAAACTCCCCCGCACGCGTACTGTCTGGTCTGTGTCAGGCAATCAAGGATCTCACAGCAGTGATCGAGGCGCGCCCCACGGACTGGCCTGCATATATGGAGCGAGGTACGTTTTCAATCAACTCCACAACAGATTCTCACACTCTCATGGAGATAGCGAGTGAGGCACACCTTGAATCGCTGCTGGGCCCAGCGCACTGACTGGGCTGCACTGCAGCATTCATGGAGCGACGACGTACACTTCCCATCAACTCCACCACAGCAGATTCCTACACACTCACAGGACGAGCCATTATGGTTGTGATTGTCCTGTGATAGTACTTGTGTACTTGAGAGGGGCCTCAGAAATAGTCCCCCGCCGGGCCGTCCCTCCCCTACCTCCCCCTGCCTCACCTCACCACCGCCACCAGGCATAGCGCATTTCAACGCGCGGTTCATCTTCCAGGCCCTCAGTGACCTGCGCGTGATCTATTCTTTAGGCGCCTCTCAAAAGTGGTCTCCTGTCGGGCTGTCCCTCCCCTACCTCCCCCTGCCTCACCTCACCACCGCCACCAGGCATAGCGCATTTCAACGCGCGGTTCATCTTCCAGGCCCTCAGTGACCTGCGCACGGTCACTGCGCACGACCCCAGCAACGCCCAGGCTCTCTTCTTCCTCGTATGAATGCTTTCCCAGCGTTTTATTGCCTGAGGCCTTTGCTCAATGGGATGCGTGGCGGGGTAGGGCTGGGCTGTGTGGCTTGCACTGAGCGTTGATCCACTATTGCCTTTGAGGCGCATGGTTGCGCATGCTCCCTGTCTCTATCTTTCAGAGACCATTGACCTGACCTGACACTCTCAGCTGTTCTTTCTTCCTCTCCCTCCCTCCCTTCCTCCGTCCTCCTCCCTCCCTTTCTTCGCCAACCTGTTCACCCAACCCACCCCGCCAGGCACAGGCGCACATGCACGGGGGAGAGTGTGCGGCGGCCATACCGCTGCTGCACCGGGTGAAGCAGCTGGATCCGAACTTGAGGGGGCTGCTGGTGCAGCTGGGACAGGCGTACAAGGAGGAATCGCGCCTGGAGGAGGCTGAGGAGACGTACCGACAGGCACTGGAGAAGGAACCACAGTGCGTGCGTGCGTGCGTGGGAGCTGTGTGCTTTGAGCCTCGCGTGGCGTCGCCTTGTGCATTGTTCATTGCTTGTGCGTTTTAGAGATTCTCAAGGGTGCCATCGTGAGGTGAGCCCGCCCGCTCTGTGCCAAGTGCGCGCAGGTGTTGTGCCTGCACAATGCGAGCCAGGTTTCATTTCCACCTGCCTCCTGAGGAGTCGTGTCCTAAAGAACCCAAGCCAGAGTACTGTGGGAGTCGTGTCTATGGTGGAACCACCCCCCTTCCCTATGCTCCGCCTGTTCCTGCTCAATCCTCCTGTCATACTGCTGCTGCCACTCCTCCTCCCTCCCTTTCGGTTGTTGGCAGGAATTTGCTGGGCTATCATCTGTACTCAACTCTCAAGCACGGCATGGGGTATCACAGGTGTGTGAATGTGATTATAAGTGTGTGTGCGTGTGTGTGTTACGAGAGTGTATATGTGTGTTTGTGTCATGTGTGAGTGTGTGCAAGTGTGGGAGAGGGTGGTCTACAGAGAGGGTGTGGGTGAGAGTAAGAGTGTGTGTGTGTTTTTAATCATTTGAAGTTTTCATTTCGAGGTGTGTGTTGCTTTGCTTTGGTAGTTCAGCTGTTTGTGTCTTCATGGTGACAAAACGTTTTCCTGGATGCATGCATGGTTCTTGCACCATCCGTCACCATTCCCATCCCCTCCCTGCCCGCACCAACCCCCTCTTCCCATCCCAGGGAGGCGATGGAAATAGCGCGGAAAGGGCTGAGAGAAGCAGACGCCAACGACTTGGATCTGCGATACATGGAGGCCTCGTGCCTGCACGCCCTGGGGTACTTTCCCCAAGCCATCCAGGCCTACTCCGCCATTCTCGCCCTGCAGCTGGCCCCTGGTGTAGACCAGACCAAGCAGTTCCAGGCGTTCTACCAGGTGCGTTTCGAGTTGGCTCAAAGCTCGTGCCTGCATGTATGAATGCCCTGAGGTACTTCCCCCAGGCTATTCAGGCCTATTCCGCCATTCTCGCCCTGCAGCTACCCCCAGGCATGGACCAGACCAAGCAGTTCCAGGCATTGTGCGGGAGGGGTTTCCAGGTGTGCTTTGGTCGTTTGCTCCTACTTGGTGGGTGGGTTCGTAGTGTGTGGGTGTGTGTGATAGAGTTGCTGGGTGGGGCCTGTTCTGTATGTGTGATAGAGTCCCAGGTGACCATCGACAGCAGACAAGTCATCGTGCACTCTTCCCGTTTCCTGCACCCCACCCGCCCACACCTTCCTCCCGCCATTTCACCTCTCGCCCCCCCATCCGGTTGATCTTTTCTCCCTTCCCATCGGCGCAAGCTGACAGCATACCTGGTGCAGAGGCACTCCAAGCCCGTGACAGCATACAGCATAGGCGACGACATGCACCCTTCCTTTATTCCACCCCCCCTTCCTCCCTCTCTATCTCTCCCCATCCTCATCCTGTTTCCCTTCTTCCATCCTACCATAAGCGCAAGCTAACAGCACACCTGGGGCAGCGGCGGACCAAGCCCATGACAGCATACAGAGTAGCCGACGACATGCTCCCCACGTTCAAGGAGCTCTTGGACCAAGTGCAAGCTGACAGCATACCTGGCATGGCACAACGGTCGCTCAGGCCGATGACGGCATCTAATAAACACGCCATTATGTGCTCTTCCCTGCCCTCCCTCCGTCTTCCACTCACTCCCATCACTCCCTTCCCATCAGCGCGAGCTTACTGCATACCTGGCGCAGCGGCGCGGCAAGCCCATGACAGCATACAGCATAGACGACGACATGCACCCCACGTTCAAGGAGCTCTGGGCCAAGCGCATCGCCTACGCGCCGCTCTTCCCGGGGTACCAGCTCCAGCCGCTCCGCACCGCACTCAAGCTCGCAGCACCGGAAACCGGCGGCCACAACGTGAGGTTTTCGGAGAGCGTGCGGAGGGTGTTAGGAGCAGCGGATGAACTGGGGAAGAGGACGCAGTATTGGTGTCATGGGTTTCTGAGGAACCGCAGGCAGCATAGGATGGCTGGGCTGGCGATTCTTGATGTTAGGGATATGGTGAGGGAGACTTGGAGGAGAATGAGGCAGGGGAGGGGTGGGGAGGTTGTGGGAGAAGGGGGAAGTGGTCGAGGAAGTGGGGAGGGGGGGGAGAGTGGGAGGGGGAGACAGAGGGGAAAGAGGCGGCAGCAACACCAGCAGCAGCAGCAGCAGCAGGAGCAGCAGGAGGAGGGGCAGAAGGAGGAGGAGCAGGAGCAAGGCAGGGCGGGGAGGAGGAGGGGTGGAGCAGCAGGGTACGTGCGTCGATGGCGTGACATTTATGACCGCGTGGTGCGGTGGAGGCAGCTGGGGGAGCCCATTGAACCTGTCGTGTGGATCGACAAACTCACGTACGTATGAACATACTGGGGTGTGGATACGTGAGGATTTGGATGGACACACCGCGCAAGTGCACACTAGTGCACAAATGCACAAGTGCACAAATGCACAAGTGCACGACCACAAGCCATTCGAACCCCTCCTGCTCCTGTTCCTCCATACCCTCTCATCTCGTTTCCCCCATATCATGTGTGTTGGGTGAATCATGCTCTTGTCCGCAACTACCACAACGCATCGCACCACCCCCACCCGCCAGGCGCAAGGAGTTTGAGGATGGGTTTGGGTCTGTCACAGCCATGCTGGTCAGCCAGCTCAAGAGCACCAAATACTACTTCGCCTTCCACAGGTCCTCCCTCCGCCTTGGAAGCCTGTGTTTCGCATTCACCTACCACCTGCCCCCACATCACGCCTCTTTGATTTGCCTCCTCTTGTTCACACTCACGCCCCACTTCCCCCCACACGCTCGTGCCTTTTGCTTGCATTGTGCGGGCAAATGGGGGCGTGGGGTTTTGTATCTCAGGACCTTGTTTTCCGTTTTTAATACACTAGGTCCTTCTTTGACACACTAGATCCTTAGGTCAGAAGGTGCCATGTATTGTACTGCTGTACATTCATTTCTTTGTGGCATTGGCATATGTGCATGTGCATGAGGGGATCTCACATCATGTCTTTTGAGACGTCTCAAAAGTCATGTCTTTTGAGACGTCTCAAAAGTCGTCTGCTGTACATCCATTTCTTTGCGGCATTGGCATGTGCATGTGCATGAGTGGATCTCACATCATGTCACCATGGTCGCATTGCCAGCTGCTCAGACTATCTTTTTCAACCGTGCCTCCGCTCTTCTGTGTGTGCGTCCCTCGGTGTGTGCCTCTTTCTCTGCACCACTCTGTGTGCAATGCAATGCCGCGCAATTCCATGGAATGCAATGCGAGGCGATGCGATGCAATGCGCTGTGCTCCATGGCATGCTTGTGTTCCTACAACAAGAGCAAGCAAGCAGGGCGTTTGAGATCATGAAGCAGCAGGTGAAGCAGAGGCACATGGTGTGGAACGGCTACGAGCAGGCCGTGCCTCTCTCCCATACTGCCGTGCACCAGGTCCGTCCACCTTGCTCCACCTCACTCCACCTTGCCCCACCTTACTTCACCGCACTACACAGTGCTATAACAGGGGTGGCAGGTGGGAGGAAACAAGTTGCACCTCACTCCACCTCACTCACTCTACAGCGCTTCTATTTCTCCCGTTCCGCTGCACACATTTCCCCCGGCCTCCTTATGCTGGTCTATTAGTATAAGCTCTGAGGCTCCTGCTGAGCCTGAAGCGCTCAAACACCCATCTTCAATGCTCCCGCGCTCCTAGCATATCCAGCACTCCCCTCCCTCCCTCCCTCCCTCCCTCCCTCCCACACCGCCCCTGTCAAGTGGGTGCTGTGCAAGCAGCTCCTCTTGCACTAACTCTAACTTTGCCTCCTTACAATCTCCCTCGTCACTCTTGCCGCCTTCCTCCTTCAAGCGCTGCCTTTGTTTGTGATGCCCCAAGAAACACACATCTTGCCGTTCTCCCTGCCATGCCGGGCTGACAGGTGGAGAATGCAGAGACAGCAGAGGAGGCATGGAAGGCCATTGGACAGGACTACTGGGTGGTCACGCCCTGCTACAGCACTGCTCGCCCAGGGTGAGGAAGAACAATGCTATAGCACTGCTCACTCAGGCTAAGCAGCACCGCTGCGGGGATGTGTCTTTCTGAGGTGCATTACCATCACCTCTTGTAGTGCTCTACATCAGCCATCTTGTTGCTTTGAACTAACTGCAGTGCTGCCTCCTCTGCTACCTGCCACCTTACACCGTACATGCTCCTTATCCTCCCACACCTCTGCTGATCACACAAGTCCTCCCCTTCCACCCCCTCTGCCTCTGCCCTGATTCCCCCCTTTCCCTCTCCCCCACGTCCACCCACCCCCTCCCTCCCTGCTCTCATCTGCAATGTTCCTCGTCCCTGTCCCTCATGCCCGCATGATCCTGCTCCATTGTCTTGCTTGCCCCCACGTGATAAAAGAGATGTTTTGAGACGTCTCAAAACTGCTCTCATCTGCAATGTTCCCCGCCCTTGTCCCTCATGCCCGCATGATCCTGCTCCCTTGTCTTGCTTGCCCCCATGCCCCCATGGCATTGCCTCGGCTACAACTGGCAGGGTCGTTATGAACGGCACTCGCCTCACCATGGTCAAGACGTATGTTACCATGTTACCATTAACCCCTTATCATCAAGCCCTACCTTCCTCACTTTCACTGCCCTATCCCCACCTCATTCCTACCGTCGTCACCACCTTCCCATCATGCATCGTTTCTGGTTCCATTCCATCTCTCTCTCCTGCTTCTGCTGCTTTGTCTATTCCAGCGCTGCATTTAATGTCGTTTCTTGTCGCCTCCTTCCTTGCCGGTGCATTCATGAGTGATTATATGAGCGTGCGCATGGACATGCAGACACTCATGCACATATATGTGCATGCATCTATATAACCATCCTTCCTTTTTCACAATCAATATCCCTATGACCACCTGCTCATATCACTTCATCCATCCCCACCCCACTCCATCCATCCCACATCCCTCATTCCCCACTCCGCACCCTCTTTTGTCCAAATCCCTCCTTCCCTCTACCCCTCATACTTCCACCTCCCCCTTTCCCTTCCCTCTCACCCCTCTCACCTCCTCTGCTCCCCTCCGTCCTCCCTCTGCCAGCCCGACCTACTCCAATCTCTCCATAAAGACTCCTGTTGTTCGCACTCGCTAGGTGTTCTTGGAAATCTAAAAACCATACCTCCACTTCCCCTGCTCCCCTCTGTCCTCCCTCTGCCAGCCCGACCTACTCCAATCTCTCCATAAAGACTCCTGTTGTTCCCACTCGCTAGGTGTTCTTGGAAATGTAAAAAGCAAGCCTCCACCTCCCCTGCTCTCCTCCGTCCTCCCTCTGCCAGCCCTACGTACTACGAGTTCTCCATAAAGACTCCTGTCGTGCCCACCCGCTGGGACGAGTACGACTTTGAGATGGAAACCGCTTGGAAGGTGCTCGCCTCTGCCTGCTCTTCAGTCTCACCTCTTGTCGTTCTGCTGCAGCCCCCCGTTGCTCTCCCCTCACTTCCTTGCAAGTATATTAAAATTCCCAATTGCATCTGGAACTACAAACCCGCTGCACTCTCATCTCAATCCAATGCCCATCCTGGTCTCTTGCTCTGTGAGACATGCATCACAAAACTCACTCCATGCGTATGTGTGTGCGTGCGTGCGTGCGTGCGTGCGTGCGTGCGTGCGTGCGTGCGTGCGTGCGTGCGTGCGTGCGTGCGTGCGTGCGTGCGTGCGTGCGTGTGTGCGTGCGTGCATGCGTGTGTGCTTGTGTGAATGCATTGTGTGCGTGCGTGGGTACCTCTTGTATGAATGTGTATTCATGGTGTGTGTGCAGGATCTATGCGAGGCATATCTCAACGATTCCCTGAAAGCATCGGATGTGGACGCATATAGAAGGCGAATCCACCATGCTATTCTTCGCATGGGTTTCTACTGGTCAGTCCCGTCCCTTAATGGTACTTACTGTTGGGTTTTAATTCTTGAGTGTAGTGGTATGCATCTTTGTTGTTAACCGACTGGTCTGCTGTTGCCGTAATCTCTCCTAGTGAAAGCCGATTCTTCAACCTCATCTCTCCTCCTCCCATCTCTTGTGTCGATGCTGCCTTTCACTGCGCACCATGTCACGGCATGCCGCATGTGCCAACCCCTGCATGCAGGTACAACTTCATGCCCATGGCTCGAGGAACGGCCATGGTGGGCTATGTGTCCATGCTTGGACTCTTCGCTGCAGCGGACATGCATGTCACAGCTGACATTCCCAAGGGAGTCCAGGTCGGGCCCTCGTACCTGTCATTCCTTTGGCTGTTTCTGCAACTTTTTCTCTGATGTTCATGCATTGTGCATAAGCACGGTACCTATTCCTGCAAAACCCCCTTCACCCCTTCTCACTCCCCCCCACTTCTCCCTTTCCCCTCCTCCCCTTTCCCCCTCAAACCCCCTTGGCACTCCCCCCCACGTGCATCTCTTCACACCTGCATTGGCCAGGTTGACTGGGAAGGCATTCTGACCCCGCGGGTCGAAGATTTTATCGCATCCCTATCGGAATGGATGCTGCCTTCCATCGATTACAACTCCCCCGTTTTCACTAATTTGCCGCACATCACTGTAGCAGATGCCCTCCCAACCCTGCTCGATGTTATAAATGCCCTAAGCTTTCATGAAGAGGACAAAAACCTCATGCAATGAAAGCCAATTGGCAGTTAACAAAGTTAAGCAGTATCATTTGTGTACCTGTCAAATAAGTGGCCCCTCTTAAATGCAACCCCAAGGTCCTGAAGACAATGGGAGTGGTGGTGTTGGGACTATTTTTGAGTTGACTAAAAAGCCTTTTCACCAATGATCGTAATTATGTGGACAAGATTATGTCGGTATGGTATGGTATGGTACAGTACTGGGCAGCTGGACAGGGGAGGAACCCCTGAGTGCAGGACCATCTTCTATATGGTGATAGAAAATGGAACAAAATCCATATAGTGCACATGCATATCCAGATGCATATACAGTGTAAATGGATGGTGAAACTTACTAGACTCTTCCCTCATTCTTGAGTGCTGAAGAAGTGGCCACTTTTCCACGAACACATCAGCCAGCCAAGCGTACGGGCTTGCCGCTTGTGGAGGCTGACAAGGACTTTAGATAATCCACGTCAGGTGACTTTATCCACATCTGACGGCAGAGAACACCAGCCACACCTGCTCAACAACTACAGGAGAGCAGCAACGATGGCTGTCATGGCACCAAAGCTGCTCCCCGTGACCCGTCCTCATCGCAATCCCCATGACCATGACCTCCCAGCCATGCCACAGCGGCAGAATGAGCAAGGTCCAAAGTTCCAGCCAAACACCCGTGTTTCAACTGTGGGGATTGATCGGTGATTGAGCCACGTGGCAATAAAGAGGTCGCAGACCCACACTATTCGCCGACGCCAGAACCATGTCGGAACCACGTCGCATCCCGTCAGTGATCTCGCTCTTTTCTGGTCTCTTCTCCCCCGCAGGGGTACCGCCAGAGCAGGGTCACAGCCCTATCCCCCCTCCACTTTCCGTGCTTCCCCGCCAGTCACTCACACCCCATCTGACCATACTGAACCACCAATTCTAGGCAAGACATCGCATATTTGATATTTTTTACCGAACCATACCGTGCTTGTCGATGCCACGGCCACCGAACCTAAAAACCCACGCCTTGATGTCCTGTCCCGATTGCTTGATCCTGATCTCTGACTGACTGCTCCAGCCTCCCCCAGCGCAACAGCAACGATGAGCACAGATGTTGCAAGGCATCCTTGGTCACTGCGAACACACGCATACTGCTTGTGGAACAAAACCAAGCAAGAGCTTGTGTTCTCGCGTCTGCAAACTTCGCTTCCGTGTCGGTCCGTCAGCAGTAGCAACGCAGCGATAACTTGGAGAGGCTCGAGCGACGTGCAGGCATGCGGTCGTGCTGCTGCTGGCGATCGATGCCCCTGGTCCGCCGGTCACCCGCTGCCATCTCCTCGTGAACGTCACCAGTTGATCCTCCTGTGAAAACATATCATTTTTTTTCCTGTTCCCGTGCATTTGTTCGAGGCCGTTTATTTTTCCAATCCAATATAACCCAGCAGTATTTTTTTTTCCTCTCCACATTTCCATCCACTCCTATGCTTCGCACGAACCGCCCTTTTAAAAAGTCGCCGGAACCCAACCTTGTCGATCTGACCGTCCGCCTCTGATATTAAGGCTTGTTAGCTACTCTTAAGTAACGTCTAGGTGCCACAGCAAAATTGGGTGCGCGAGATGACGCTACCCACGCGGTTAAGTTCCTCAACTGCCGTAACCGTGCATTCGTCAGGTGTTGCACAGTCGTCGTCAATCGCTCACTCTTCGACATGCTTACATGCCGGTTCACCACGTGCAGCAGTTCGTCTAGAGTCCGTTCAACCGTTGGACGGACGGCCTCGATCAGACCATGCGAGGCCATCGTACGTCCTGCGACGAGGAATCGTTGCCGCTGCGACCGCTCAGGTGGTGGGAACCAGCAACACCCATCGGCTCCGGGATATGGGCGTGTCCCGGAGAACGGGCATTAGTGGGTCTAAACTAGTCCTCAATAGCGCTACTAGCGGTGTTACAAATGCTACTGGTGGCATCAGTGGCCGTAAACATGGGCCATGTGGCGGGGCTGTTAGCGCGGGTGATAGCAGCATCGGTCGCCGCGACAGGCAGGAACAGACGTTGGGATGGGGAGTTAACGGCTGCGTAGATGGCGGTGGGATTGAGCGAAGACTGTCACAGCGGTCCGCTGCACACTCGCCGCAGCAGCTGCAGCAGTCGCTGACGCAGTCGCACCGGGGAACCGTCACGGTTTCGGCCGTTCTCAAGTAAGAACACGGGAGAGACAGCTGACAAATAAAGCTCTTATAGTTGTTCTAGCCAGTTTTTTTCTCAGAGAGTTTTTGTTCATCGTTTCCAACGACTTGTAAAATTGTCGTCCTTAGCCGTGCATTCCGTCATTTCATCCTTCCCGCACATGATCTTCCATCGTCCATTTCCGCAATCCATTTTCCCTCGTTCCTTTTCCTTCATCGTCCACTTCCGCCGTCTATTTCCGCCCAGCAGCCCCCCCGGCCAGCAACTGCCAGCGAAGAAGCCGTTCACTCCCCGCCAGCGCCCATCCCCCAACCCCTCCGCGGAGCTCAGCTCGCCCTTTCCCGCCGTCTCCTCTGCCGCTGCGCGCCAGAGCGGGAACAACGACGGCGGAAGCGGAAGCGGAAGCGGGAGCGGAAGCGGAAGCAAGAGCGCGAGGGGTAGCAGGGCCGGTGGCGGAAGGGGGGGAGGGAGAGGGCGCAAACACGCGAGCAACTTGGTAAGCAACCCTGGCGGAGGCGGCGGCTCTGGCGGGAGCCGCAGCGGCAGCGGCGGCAGCGGCAGCAGCAGTAGCGTCAATCGCGGCGGCGCTGTAGGACTCCGCATGGGTGCAGTCGGCTTCGGGAGTTCCGCCAGCGGGGGAGCGGACACCTCCCTCCGCGGAACGGGGGCAGATGGCGGAGGTGCGGCATTGGCAGTCGGGGCATTGGCCGGGGGTTTCGATGTGAAGGCGTCAGGGGGAGGGGAGGCGGAAGAGAGGGGGAGCGGTAGTGCGATTGGTGCTGTTGCTGGTGCTGGCGGTGGTGCCGGCGGTGGTAGTGGCGGTGGTGATGGTGGCAATGGTGCTGGTCCTGCGCCTGCTGCTGCCCCTGCTGCCGCGGCTGTGAATGGCGCTGATGGTGGCGCTGCTGCTGTTGCAAGTGCACAGAAGCTGGAGGGCGCGAAAGCGGAAGAGGAGGAGGAGACGGAGGGAGGCGGGGGAGAGGAGCAGGAGGAGGAGCGAGAGGCGGAGGAGGAGGAGGGGAGAGCAGACGTGAATGCTCGATCCGGTTCACCTGGTAACGGATCGTTGCGAGGCGGGAATAGTTACGGGGAAGGGGGGAAGGAGGGCGGGGGGGCGGAGGATGCGGAGGATGCGGAGAGCAACGAGGAGGCGGTTATGGCTGCACGGCTGTCCATGGCGAGCTTGGCTGCGGGTATCGCCAGTCAGGTATGGAATACGCTGAGAGATGGTGCGTGCGCGCGTGCGGGGATGAAACGCTGCGCTTCTGTAATGGGGGTGATGGGGTTTTAAATCGTGAAGACTCGTGTGCTCGTTGTTCTGACCCAAAGCGAGGCAAGTGAACAAATAACCGGTGAACCAATAGCCACTGGACCAGCAACCAGTGAACGAACGGTAGCGGACGGAACCCAGAACGCAATCTAAATATTGTTCACTCCTAGTCTTTCAAGACTTTCAATGTCTTATCTCCCACTCTATTCGCTCCGTCACTTCGTCCCTGCTCTTCTTTGCATCTCCCTCCCTCAGCCCGACTATGATGGCCCTGACGGGGACAGTGATGGTGATGGTGACAGTGGCGGTAGCGGCGGTGGTGGTGGCGGTGGCGGTGGTGGAGGAGGCGGGGGAGGCGGGGGTTCCAGCGGTGGAGGCAGTTCGGCGGGCAAGGCGGACCGGTCGTTGGAGCTGGGCGATTTGATTGGCATGATTAAAGACGCCGAGTCCAGTGAGTGTGACGAGTGACTAGTGAGAGTGCTACGCGTGACACGCAGTGGGCCCAAGCACTTACTCCGAAGCCCCCTCCCTCTCGCGCTCCCTTATGCTGCTGCACCGACGTGTGTGCTGTACCTTGCACGTTGCGTCTCGTTTGTCACTCCTTTCCTCGTTCCGTTCTACTCAGTTTTCCCGACTTTTGCCCGCCTCCCTCTCTTGTGTTCTTTCGTCATCAATCTATCAATCCTGATCCACGTTCTCCTCCTTCCGGTCCTAGTTCTCCCTCCCGCCGTCCTTTTCCAAGTCTCCCCCGTTCCCTCTCGTCTCTCCGCCCTTTCCCTCGACCCCCTCACCGCTCCACTCCTTCCTCCTTCCCTCCACCGAAACCAACCCCTGGGAGTGCAGACATTCTGCTGCTGAACCGAGTGCGGTCGCGCGCGCTGGAGGAGCTGTCAGAAGCGCGCATGCAGAACGACGGGCTGCAGAACCAGCTGCGAATCTTCCAGGCGCGCATCGCGGAAGCCGACGCGAAGCTTCACCTGGCGGTGCAGAGCCGCGAGCGCAGCTCCCTGCTGGAAACGCAGCTGCGCGTGCTGCAGGAGCAGGTGGAGGAGCTGGGGGAGGCGGACGGCGAGGGGGAAGGGGAAAGCGCGGGCGCGGAGGCGGAGGAGGAGGTGGTGGGGGAGCTGGAGAAGCAGGTGGCGGAGCTGCGCGCGCGGGTGCAGGACGGGGAGGAGGCGGAAGCGCGGCTGGAGATTCTGCAGGGGCGGAACGAGGCGCTGCAGCGGGAGGTGGAGGAGGGGATCAGGCAGGCGGAGGCCGCGCGGAGGCGCGCGGAGGAGGTGGAGCGGAGGCTGCGCGAGGAGATGGAGGGGCTGACTGAGAGGCTGGTGCGGCTGCAGGCGGAATTGGCGGTGTCTCAGGCTAAGGAGAAGGAGCTGGGGGAGGCTGTTGCGGTTAAGGGGTTGCTTGAGCGGGAAGTGGGGGATCTGCGGGGGAAGGTGGCGGAGAAAGAGGCGGAGATGGCGCAGGCGGTGCGAGAGCGCGAGGAGGAGGTGGAGCGGCTGCGGGAGAGGCTGGAGCGGGAGGTGGGGGAGCTGGGGGAGAAGGTGCGGGAGGAGGGGGAGAAGCGGCGGGCGGCGGAGGAGGAGCGGGAGAGGCTGGATGGGGAAATCGCAGCGCTGAAAACGGAAGTGGAGGAGAGGGAGGAGGCGTTGAGGCGAGAGCTGGAGGAGGTGGCTGGGAAGCTAAGGAGAGAGGTGGAGGAGAGGGAAGCAGTGGTGGGGGAAGAGGTGCAAGAGAGAGAGGCGCTGGTGGCCCGGCTGAAACAGGAAGTGGATGAGCTGACGGAGAAGGTTGGGGACAAGGAGCGGGAGAGGGAGCGCGCGGAGGCGGAGGTGGGGGAGCTGCGGAAGAGAGTGGAGGCGGCGGAGGAGGTGGTGCGCGCGAAGCAGGGGGAGGTGGAGGAGCTCCAGGAGGAGCAGGCGCAGGAGCTGCGCGCGCTGGTGGCGCGGCTGGGGGAGGAAACCGCGCAGATGCGGAAGGCGCTGGAGGGGAAGGAGCGGGAGGTGGAGGAGGTGGAGGCGGCGAGGGGGAAACTGGAGGAGGTGGTGAGGCGGACGGAAGGGTGGCTGGGGGAGGTGCGCGGGGAGAACGCGGACCTGCGGGCGCAGCTAGCAGCACTGCAGCAGCAGGTGGCGGAAGCGGAGGAGAAGAGAGAGCTGGTCGTTCAGTTGACTGAGGAGGAGGAGAGGGAGAGGGAGGAGCAGCGGCAGCAGCTGATGCTGCAGCTGCAGCAGGCGCAGGAGCGGGTGGGGGAGCTGGAGCGGAAGCAGGAGATGGTGGCAAAGGTAGAAGCGGAGATCAGTCTACTACAGTCGGCGATTGAGGAGGCTGAAGGGCTGGAGAGGATATCTGCGGCTGTAGCAGAGCAGAACGAGGAGCTGCAGGGGGAGCTGGCAAGGCTGAGAGAGGAGGTGGCGGCGGCTGAGGCGGCGAGGGCGCAGGAGCAGGAGGAGCGGCAGGCGGAGAAGGAGGAGTGGTGGCGGCTGGCTGAGGAGACGGAGGCGTATAGAGCCCAAGTGGGTGTGCTAAGGAGTGAGCTAATGAAAACGGACGAGCTGATGCGAGCGCAGCTGGAGCTGTATGAAGCTCAGATGGCTGCTTTCCAAGAGAGTTTAGATGCAGCGAATGAGAGCGTGGAGGTGTATAGGGCCCGGGCAGAAGAGGCGACAGCAGCGGCAGAAGAGGCGGCGGCCATGGCGGCGGAAGCAGAGGCAGTAGCGGCACAGTGGGAGGAAGCGGCGGCGTCTGGCGCGCTGGGTGAGCTGAATCTGGACGGGATGACAAGCGGGTTTGTAACCAGTGGGAGCAGCAGCAGCAGCAGCAGCAGCATGGGGGGTAGGTGGCAGCGGCCGGCGGTGGTTGCAGCAGGGGAGCTTCCTTGGGAGTACTGGAGCTCTCTTTTACTGAAGCTGGACGAGCTGCTGCTGCGGCGGGTGCTGACGACTGAAGAGCTGGATGAGTTGAGGGACATGGCGTGGCGGAGGGAGAAGGCGATCAGAGAAGCGTGGGACTCGGTTGGGGGTGCGGAGGTGGTGCAGGCTGTGGCGGCCGGGGGGAACAGTGACGCGGTGCTGGGGAGGGATGCGGTGGTGGCGGGCGCACTGAGGGGCGTGCTGGGAGGGGAGCAGCCGCCGCTGCCGCCCCTGCATGTCGTGCATATAGCTGCGGAAATGGCGCCTGTGGCGAAGGTGGGGATGTGGGGTGGGGATGGGGAGGAGCGGGAGGGGCGGGCGGGTGGGAGGACGGATGTGGATGGGTTGGTGTGGTCTGTTGGGGCAGGAGTGTGGAAAGGGGGAGAGGAAGGAGGAGAGGGCACATGCTGTTTTGAGCTGTTGGTGGGTGATAATCCATGCTCTAACACATTGATCTGCGGGTTGCTTGTTTCCGCGCGCGTGCATGTGCATGTGCATGCGCATGTGCATGTGTGCGTCTCTGCATGTGTGTGTGCATGCGGTATGGCAGGTGGGAGGGCTAGCGGACGTGATCACGGGGCTGTCGAAGGCGCTGCAGCGCAGGGGGCACCTGGTGGAGATCATTCTGCCCAAGTACGACTGCATGGACTACTCGCGCATCAACGACCTCAAGGTGCGTGCTTGCACACGTGCTTGCATGCGTGCTTGTATCGTGTGCCCAAGGCGAGCATATAATCATGACCATCATCATCCTCTGCACCCTGCCCTCTCCTCCCCGGTCCTGCCTGCCCTGCGTTGCACTGTGCTGTGCTATGCCATGTGCAGCCTTTGGATCTCAAGTTCTCGTCCTTCTTTGACAATGAAATGCACGCCTGCAAGATATGGAGGGGCATGGTGGAGGGTGAGTGCGATGGGGGGAGGGGCACGGAGGCATGAACATTGCAGCTGCATTGAGCAGGGAAGGTGCACTAGACTTATCACGTGTCACACATCTTCCTCTCCCCTCGACCCTCCCCCCACCACCCGCCACTCCCTGTCTTCTCTCTCCTTTCCTTCCCCTTTTGATTTTGCCATCAAGTATGTACTCTTGACAACTCATGCATCCAAACCTTCTGCTCTTCACCACCCTCCCTTCCTACCGAATGTGCCCCCCCCATGCAGGGCTGCCTGTGTACCTCATAGAGCCTCTGCACCCCATGCGCATGTTCTGGCGCGGCACCTTCTCCTTTCCCAACAAGTGCTCCCAACAAAGTGCTCTATTCTCTGCGCCCTCCCCTGCGCCCCTCCCGTTCCCTTCCCACACATCCCCCCATGCAGGGCTGCTTCATAGAGCCTCTGCACCCTGCGCGCATGTTCTGACCGCTCTTGCCCACTCAACACTTGCCCCATCCCCCCTCCCCACTCAACCCCCCCTATGCGTGTCCCTCTCATGCAGGGCTGCCGGTGTGCTTCATAGAGCCGCTGCATCCCGTGCGCATGTTCTGGCGCGGCACCTTCTCCCGCCCTCAGGTTGCCCAGTAGGTCACAAGTGCCCTATTTTTTTCCGCCCTTCCCTGCGTCCCTCCCTTTCCCTTCCCAATCGTGCCTCCCCCCATGCAGGGCTGCCGGTGTACTTCATAGAGCCGCTGCACCCCGCGCGCATGTTCTGGCGCGGCACCTTCTACGGGTGCAACGACGACTTCCGCCGCTTCACGCTCTTCTGCCGCGCTGCCCTCGAGTTCCTCCTCGTCTCGCACAAGCGCCCCGACATCATCCACACTCACGACTGGCAGACCGCCGTTGTGGTACGTGCGTGCGTGCGTGCGTAGTGTTGCTGGGCTGGCCTTGAAATGACCCGACTCACAAGAAGTGCACTGTAAAACCCGGTTTGGTTGCGGAGAGGTCCCAACTTCATCCACCACACGCTTCTTTCCCCCCCCCCTCCTCCTCCTCCTCATCCAAACCCCCACCCGCCTCCTCCCCTTCCCCCCCCAGGCGCCGCTGTACCGGGATGTTTATGTGTTGCGGGGGCTCAAATTGGCCTTCAATCTGCTCCCCGTCTCACCTCTTGATTCCCCTCCCTTTCCGACACACCTCCCCACCCGCTCCTCCTCCAGGCGCCGCTGTACTGGGACGTGTATGTGCCGCGGGGGCTCAACTCGGCGCAGCTGGCGTTCACGTGCCACAACTTTGAGTACCAGGGGACGGAGCACGCCAGCGCGCTCGCTGCGTGCGGGCTGGACGTGAACCGGCACAACGTGCCCGAGCGCATGCGGGATAACTTCATGCACGACAGAGTCAACCTGCTCAAGGTGCGTGGGGTTCGATTCGACTGCTTGGGTTGGGTGGCGGGTTTATCTCTGAGGTGCCTGGCTCAGGAAGCGGCTCATTCCCCCCTCTCTCTTCTCCGTCCCTTACCATCCTCCGTCGCCCCCTTTTCGTCATTTCCCCATTTCCCTCCCCGCTCTCCTCCCCACCTCGGCCTATTCCCCCCTCATCCCCCCTTGCATATGGCGCAGGCGGGCATAGTGTTCTCAGGTGTGGTTACCACAGTGTCGCCAACATACGCCATGGAAGTTAGAGGGCCCGAGGTGAGTGTCACTGGGGAGGGGAGCAGTGGGGTGGGGGCTGAGGGAGGGGTTTGGGGGAAAGAAGTTGGAGAAAGAAGTAGCAGGGGGGGGGCATGGGGGGGCAGGATGGCACGTACGTCACAGGATGGTGTGTGAGGAGATGGGTTGGGAGCAGGAAGACGAGCAGTGTGAGTTGAAAGGGTGAGTGGGTGGGTGGATGAGGGTGGTCAGCGGATTTCCAAGCAAAATGGGCTGCTGTTAGAACATCTGGGAGGGACCACCCACCCAATCTCCGCCTTCCTCTTTTGCCCTACATCCATCCACCGTCCAGCCTTAACTTTCTCTTCTCTGCTCCATCTCTCACGCTTCTCCCTCGGCTCTTCCCTCCCCACTATCCCCCCCTCAATCTCCCCCTCCCCCCATGAACACCCCGCAGGGCGGGCGAGGGCTGCACCTGACGCTGGGGCAGCAAGTGCAAAAGTTTGAGTCAGTCTCAAAGTCAACTTGCTCCCTCCCTCCCTCCCTACTCCCTTCCCCCCCATGAACACCCCGCAGGGCGGGCGAGGGCTGCACCTGACGCTGGGGCAGCACGAGAAGAAGTTTTTTGGCGTGCTGAATGGGATTGACTCGGAGGTGTGGGATCCGGCCACGGACCCGCTGCTGTGCTGCCCCTACAGCGCCGCTGAGCCTGAGGGCAAGGCGGAGAACAAGGCGTATCTCAAGTCCATGCTGGGGCTCTCGTCCTCAGGGCCTGATGCACACAAGCCGCTGGTGGGTTGCGTGCGGATGGATGGGTGTGTGTGTGTGTGTGAGCGTGTGATCTTGTGTGTGTGTTTGATTGTGTTTGTGTGGGGAGAGGAGGCTGAGGTGAAGGGGCCGCGGACGAGGGAAAGAGAGTGGGAAAATGGAAGGGGAAGTGAAACCAGTGCGGTGAAGCGGAAGCAGGCGGTAACATGGAGAACTATCATGTTTCCCTCCCCCCTTCCTTTTTTTCGTTATTTCACACACCGTGCTTCGCCCCTGTCAACCTATGCCCATCTCATCTCGTTCCATCTCTCCTCTCTTTCCATCTCCCCTCTCCGCACCGAATGAGCAGGTGGGGTGCATCACGCGGCTGGTGCCGCAGAAGGGCGTGCACCTCATCCGCCACGCCATCTACCGCACGCTGGAACGCGGCGGCCAGTTCGTGCTGCTCGGCTCCAGCCCTGTGCCCGACATCCAGGTGCGCGTTGAGCTGCCCCGTGTCCGACATATAGGTGGGTGGGTCGTCGTGAGTGCCCTGTGCCCGACGTCCAGGTGCGCCTTGAGTTGCCCCTTTTCCCACATATAGATGGGTCATTGTGAGTGCGTCGTGCCCGACATCTAGGTGGGTCATGGAAGTCCGGTGCCTCACATCACATGCAATTTAGTTTTGACTCATGTGATGCTCTCCCCCCCACCCCTCCCCCTCTTCCCCCACGTTTCTCCCGCGAGCAGAAGGACTTTGAGGGCATAGAGCGGCAGTTCAGCAGCGACCCCAACATCCGGCTGGTGCTCAAGTACGATGAGAGCCTCTCGCACCTCATCTACGCCGCCTCGGACCTCTTCATCATCCCCTCCATCTTCGAACCTTGCGGCCTCACCCAGGTATGTACACCTGCCTGCCTGCCTGAGATGCCTGCCTGCCTCTGGGCTGGGTGTCTGCGTGCTTGGGGGGGAGCGGTGGCGCGGTGTAGTGTGGTGTGGTGTGGAGTGGTGTGGTGTGGTGTGCTGTTGATGCAGTAGTGGTGGAAGAGGAATGATAGACACGTGGGTGAATGCAGAGGGCTGCCACCAGAAATGAATCTGGTGGAGACTGGGTTGCCGTGTTTCTTGTGAGTGGATGTTACTTCCTGTGTTGGCATGCATAGAATGCATGTGTGCACATGTCTGTGTATTGCTATGTGCATGTGCATGTCTGTGCATGCGTGTGCGTACATATGACTGCTTACCTGTGCGTGACCATTACGTACCCCTCCACTCGCTTGACCCCTCCCATCCCCTCCCATCCCCTCCCATCCCCTCCCATCCCCTCCCATCCCCGACCATCCCCGACCATCCCCGACCATCCCCTGACCATCCCCACCCATCCCATCCCATGGCACCTCATCAGCTCATTGCGATGCGCTATGGTTCCATACCCATTGTGCGCAAGACAGGCGGCCTTGCAGACAGGTATGCTGGGCTCTCCCTCTCCCTCTCTCTCTCTCTCCCTCTCCCTCTTCTTCTCTCTCCCTCTCCCTCTCTCTCTCCCTCTTCCTCTTCCTCTCTCTCCCTCTCCCTCTCCTCTCTCTCCCTCTCCCTCTCCTTCTCCATCCCCTCGTCCACCCTCCACGTGCGCCGCTTGCATACACCCAACATCTCCCCTCATCCCCTCCTCCCCGCCTCCACCTCCCCTCCCAACCCACTCACTCCATTACTTCTCCAATTATCTCGTTTGTTTCACTCGTGCCGTTTTTCAATCAAACACATTGCTCCCTGCTCCGCATCATTCTCTCCTATGGGACTGCTCGCTCACTCCCTCTCGTCCGTCCGTGCGTGTTTGTCATGTCATGGCCGCAGTGTGTTTGACGTAGATGACCCGTCAATTCCTGTGGAGAAGCGCAATGGTTTCAGCTTCACTGCCAGCGATGTCAATGTCAGTCCGCCCTCTGCTTCCTTCCGCTCCACTTCCCTGCACTCCACCCGTTTTTCTCCACTCCACTGCACCCCCTGCTTGAGCTCCGTTCTACAGAGCCATTCTTGACTCCTTTTTTTTCTTGTGCAGAAGCGTTTTTCGGTCGTTTCTATACTGTGGAAATTGCTCCTGCTTTGTATTCACTCCGCACAAACATCCATTCCCTTGTCTCCCCTCTCATCCCCTCCCCACCCAACCCCACCGCACCTCTCCCTCACTCATCCCACATGTGTCCTGCTTCAAGTTCTCAAACACCTTTTCTCTTGTCTCCCTTCCCCACCCCATCCCAACCCATCCTCACTCCAACCATCCCCACGTATGCCCCATCCACACATGTGTGTGTCTGTATGTGTCTGTCTGTATGTGTATGTCTGTATGTGTATGTGTGGGCCTGCAGGCGCTCAACTATGCCCTGGACCGAGCCATAACAGCGTACTATGAGCGGCGGGAGTGGTGGGTGCAGCTGGTGGCGCACACCATGGCCATGGACTTCGGGTGGGAGCAGTCCAGCAGGCAGTACGAGCACCTCTATCACCGCTGCCTGCCGCACCGCCGCACCTGGTGACCCACCTCCTCGTGCGATCTCTACTTGACTCTTCTGCTGTGTTGACTGTCACCTGCCTCTACTGTCACCTCTACGGCTCCTACAGGCGACTCTGCTGTCGCACTTCTCTCAGCTGCCGCTGCTGTCATCTCTCCCCTGAAGTTGAACTGGAAACCTGTTGTAGCACTTTGGAGGCCTTTAGAGGCCTTGGGGGTTTCCTTGGTGTTAGTTGTGAGGGAAGGGACGAGCAAGGGGCGGGACGGGGAGGAGCAGCAGTGGACCTGCTTCAACTCATAGTATTCTGGCTTTGTCATGTCACTGCTGCCGCGCTGCTGCTACCGTGCCGTAGGCAGACGTGCAAGTGCCACTTTTATTCGTCCTTATATTTCTGCTTTTTTCCCCACTCGGAAAGATCCCTCGCTTTTTTTTCGTCAAGCAAGACTGTTACATAAGTACGCTGTGCATGTTCAGGTGCTTGTAGGGGCACTGCCACTCTGGTGCTGCCCTGCCTGATTGCTAGTCTTGTGATTTGATTTGGGGCAACATAGTGGTACCATTGCAGTCTAAGGTACTGTAGAAAGATTGCTCCCTTGAAAAAGTGTTTTTATTTCTATTTGTTTTCTGTGAAGTGGATGTTTTAGTAGAGATGGTATGGTATTGTTAAGCAATCATTGTTTTACTGCAAGACTGGTGTTTCTGCAACGGTGTGACCCGAACCAGAGACCCCAGCCAACATGGTCTTCAGTGTTCATCAGTAGTTGCACTTTGAATTGTTCTGCCTAAATGTTTTAGCTCAGATTGTTATCCAATTTATGTAGATGCTGAAATTCTTGTTCAACTATCGACATTTCAGCGAGGCAATGCACCTCGAGATTACACCTCATTTCGAGTCGCCGAGCTGGGCAACAGCGAACTATTTTATTTCAGTTTCAGCCAGCATGATAGTAGCGCAGCGCACGCGTTTCGCGGTATGAACGCTCTTAAGCGCTCAACTAACATTGTCGTGGTGCTGTAGCAGTTTCGATGGTGCGAGCAGATTCGTACTGCTGAGGCTGTGCCAGGGAGGAGAAGGATCGCCGCGAGGATAAAAGAGGTTGTGAGGAGGAACGCCACGAGGAGGACCACTGTGATTCCTGCTTCTTCTTTTTTTCAGGCGTAAACCTTCTCCGCTTCTACGAATTCCGCGCGCCAGGCTCGAACTCCCAACCCTTTCTGCGTCGGGTTCCTTTCCGTCATGGACCTTCGAGTCTCACGCATAGTTCATGGTTCATAGTCAGCTATTCGTCCGGCCCCTGGAACGGCGACGCGTTGGCGTGACTTAACTACCAGTTAGTAGCCATTCCGCCATAGCCGTCGCAAGTGAGTAAGCGAACGAGCGCGCAGAGACGTTCGAGATCTTATCAGCGTTCACAACACTGACGGACAAGACCGGCTTTCTTAGCGCCTCAAAAGCAGACTCACGACATAGATTGACCAACCCAACGGCAGTTAACTCCGCGGCTATCGTTTCCGTGAATCATGGCGTTCTCGAGAAAATCTGCGTTTATGGAGCCTTCTCTTGGCGGAACAGTCGACGGTGAGCAGCGGGGGATAATTCTGATTTCGATATTAACATGTGCATTGGATTCCCCCAGAACGGCCTGCAATGAACAGAAAGGAGGGGGGTTGAGGGGGACTAGGGTGAAAGAGCTTACCTCTCAGTGATGTCTAAGAGTCTTTCCATCAGAGCCAACTAGTTGCATTCTGGATGAGCTCTCTCCATTCCTTGAATGAGCCCTCTTCATCCCTTTGATGAGCTGTCTTCATCCCTTTGATGAGCTCTCTCCATCCCTTGGATGAGCTCTTTCATTACTCTCGGTTCAGACTCTGCTTTGGTTATTTCGCTGCATCCTTAACCCGTCCCGTATCCCTCCCCGTCCGCCTTGTCTCCGCTTTCCCCTCCGCCTCTTCTTCTCCCCCCTCCGAATCCGCTTCTCCTTCCCCTTCCCTTTCCCCTTCCTCTTCCTCTTCTACTTCCCCGACGCCTCTCCTCCCCCTTCCCATCCTCATACCTCCCCCGCCACCCCCTCTTTCCCAGTTTTCTCCCCCCGTGCCTCCCCCTCCTCTCCCCCTAACCCCCTTCCCCCCCAGTGACGCAGCTGGCAGCGCAGCGGGAGCAGCAGATGGTGCAGCGGTGGCAGTGGCAGCGGGAGCAGGAGGGGCCGTTGGAAAAGGTGGTGGGTGGGGTGCTGAATCGCCTGCTGCCAGACGCACCTGCCATGGCCGCCCGGGCTGACATTGTTGCAGTTCTCACCCAAGCTATTCGCGCAGAGTTTCGTGGTGAGGGTGGGTGGGCAACGGTAGGGGTGGGTGGGGCGTTAGTAAGGACGGGTGGGTGGGTTGAGTTGCGTTTTCGACTTTGACTTGGAAGTTCACCCAGAAGTGGAGGAAGCACGAAAGCGTTTGGCGAGAATGGTTGGATTGGGCAGCACTGGATAGATTGACTCACACATTGATCTTTCTCTGATCCTCCCTTTCGTCTCCCTTCGATGCCTCCCTTCCATCTTCCCCACAATCTTCCCATTCCATCTCCCGCCCACCACCCACCAACCAGTCGGGCGTCTGATTACCTTCGGCTCATACGAGATGGGTCTGTCATCCAACACATCCCATCAGACCTTGACCTGTCTCTTTTAAGGCGCGTCAAAATATTTACCTCCCGTCCTCCCTTCCGTCGCCCACCCATCCACGCCTTCCTTTATCAGCCGGGCGTCTGATTCCCTTTGGCTCATACGAGATGGGTTTATCATCCAACACATCAGACCTCGATCTGTCGCTGGAGGTTTCTCCGCCGCCATCTCTCGCCCCCTCGTTTGCTGCGGGCATGATGGCCGAACCTCGGACGAGGGACGCCAAGATAGCTGTGTTGCGCCGTGTGGCTGCAGTGATTCGGAGAATGGAAAGAGGTACGGACCGGACCGGACCAGGCTGGAGTGTACAGTGCTGTTTCTGGGTTGACCCAATTGCTTCCTCGTGCACGTTCTCAGCTTTGCTGTGGGTGAGACTGTTGGAGCTCAGGAGCAGGAAGGCATGGCGCATATGATTCTTTTGTTGGGTGGCTGCTACATTGAATAGATGAATGGAGTGAGGTATTGTGGTTGACGGGCGTGTGCCGGGCATGTGCCGGGCCTGTGCCCGGCGTGTGCTGGCCTTTGCAGGAACGAGTCCTTCCTTACTCACAGTGCCTTCCCTCCTCTCCCACGCTCCTCCACCCCTTTAACGCCTTTCCACCATTCCCCCCCCCTCCCCCAATCAGCACCTTCCCTCTTCCCCCTTCCTCCCAACACCTTCCCCCTTTCTCCCTCTCCTTTCCCCCCTCCCCCCCTCCCCCCCTTCTTCCCTCCTCCCTCCTCTCCCTCTGGCTTACGGAATTCAGGGGGGCAAGTGGAGCGGGTGGAGGTAGTGTTTCGGGCGATCGTACCGGTGGTGAAGTTTGTGCACTCGCGCTCACTCGTGGAGTGCGACATTTCAGTTGCCAACCGTGACGGCGTCTTCAAGTCCCGCTTCATCCGCTTCGTCTCGTCGATTGACCCGCGCTTCAGACACCTCTGCTTCCTTGTATGCATGCACACATGCACGCACGCGCCTCGCCTGCATGCATTGCATGCCGATGCTTGCATTGCACACACCGCACGCACCGGACCGGACCGCACCGCACTGCACTGCACGCACGCAAGGCAACGCAAACACGCAGCACACTTCCATGCACAAACGCACGCACACACACATATGCTCAGGCGCACATATTCATGCATACACATGCCCTCCGCAAATCACCCTCACCTTGGATTGTCACATCTGTGTGTGTATGCTCGTAATTTTTGCATGCACGTTCTGTCAGCCTCTTAGTATTCATGTTCACGTGTATGTACACTCTTGTATCTCCCCTCCCCCTTTCCTCCACTTCCCTCCCCCTTTCCTCCACTTCCCTCCCCCTTTCCTCCACTTCCCTCCCCCTTTCCTCCACTTCCCTCCCCCTTTCCTCCACTTCCCTCCCCCTTTCCTCCACTTCCCTCCCCCTTTCCTCCACTTCCCTCCCCCTTTCCTCCACTTCCCTCCCCCTTTCCTCCACTTCCCTCCCCCTTTCCTCCACTTCCCTCCCCCTTTCCTCCACTTCCCTCCCCCTTTCCTCCACTTCCCTCCCCCTTTCCTCCACTTCCCTCCCCCTTTCCTCCACTTCCCTCCCCCTTTCCTCCACTTCCCTCCCCCTTTCCTCCACTTCCCTCCCCCTTTCCTCCACTTCCCTCCCCCTTTCCTCCACTTCCCTCCCCCTTTCCTCCACTTCCCTCCCCCTTTCCTCCACTTCCCTCCCCCTTTCCTCCACTTCCCTCCCCCTTTTTTTTTTTCTTACTGGCAACGCGTTGTTCTGCCTGCTTTTGTCTCCACTCAAAATCACGTTTTCCTTTATTTCTTTTGTTCGATGCGGTCTCTCCCGCCCATTCACCCAGAACAAGTGCCGCTCAACCATCTTCCCGTTCTCGAGTTCTGCATGGTCACCCACCATCTCGTCTCCTCTCGGTTCTCCCTCTCATCTCTTCCCTCCCTCTTCCTCCATCCTGCATCCTCTCCATCCTGCCATCCGCTCTCCTCCCTCCAGGTGAAGTCATGGGCGCCCAACGAGGCCATCAAGCTGGCTTCTGAGAATTCTCTTCCTCCATCCTGCCTCTTCCTCCATCCTGCCTCTTCCTCCATCCTGCCTCTTCCTCCATCCTGCCTCTTCCTCCATCCTGCCTCTTCCTCCATCCTGCCTCTTCCTCCATCCTGCCTCTTCCTCCATCCTGCCTCTTCCTCCATCCTGCCTCTTCCTCCATCCTGCCTCTTCCTCCATCCTGCCTCTTCCTCCATCCTGCCTCTTCCTCCATCCTGCCATCCCCTCTCCTCCCTCCAGGTGAAGGCGTGGGCCCGCAATGAGGCCATCAACGACCCTCGCAACGGCACCCTCAACTCCCTTGCGCTCATCCTCCTCTGCGCTCTGCACCTCCAGGTGACCCCCTGCACGTGCACTGCACCCAGAAAGCTCAATGCGTTGCCACTGACCTGTAACTTCGCCTCCTGCTCCTGCCCCAGTTCTACATTCTTAGCGCATCTGCTCTCTGGTTTATACTTCCTACTTCATTCTCTTTTTCCATCTTACCCCTTCTTTCTCATGCCCCCACCCGCTCCCAAACCCCCCCCTCCCCCCCCTCCATCCTCCCCCTCCCTCACACCTCCCGTGGATGTGTGATCGGTCCTCCTCCCTTCTCCCCCCTTGCGCGTCTCCCCTTTCTGTCCTCCTCCTTTCCCATGTATCTCTCCTCACCCATCTCTCCCCATCTCTCGCCCCGTCTCTCCTCCCTCCGCCCTTTTTTACCCACTGGATCTCCTCTCGCCCATCCCGCTCAGACTCGCTCACCCCCAATCCTGCCCCCTTTCAAGGACCTCATGGGCCATTTCCCAGAGCCTCTATGTACGTCTTATGCCCTTCTCAACCAGGGCCATTCTCCTCTCCTCTCCTCTCCTCTCCTCTCCTCTCCTCTTCTCTTCGCCCCTCTCCCGTCTCCTACTCCCTGCATCTCAAACCCCAATCATTCCCTGCCTGTCACTCCCCTTTCTCCCCCTTTGCAGCCCTCTTTCTCCCCTTGGTTAATCAAATCAACCAACCTAGTAGGATGGCCAATCAACCACCCACCCACCATGCCTGTCGCACACAGGGCACATCAGCATCCCTCTTTGCTCGCCTAGCCCTATGCATGCCATCCATGTGTGTTGCATGCTGCATGCTCTGCCGTCCTCTCTCGCCCCACCTCCTCCCCCGGGTCCGTTGCCAGTCAGTAGTCGTGATGTGACACTGTCCCGCCCGCACACCAAAAAAAAAAAAAAAAAAAAAAAAAAAAAAAAAAAAACTGACTTTTGAGGTGATTTTGGAGGTGCACAAGACATCTTAACCGCACCTCCTACCGCCCTCTTCCCCCCCCCGTCCCTCCCCAGCCAGTGGGCGTGACGCTGTTCCCTTGCCAGAGCAAGAGCTAATGGATCGGCTGGCACACGCGGAGAGCAGGGCAGCACAGCTGGCAGAGCAGGGCTATGGGAGGAGGAACACAGCGTCTCTGCCGCACCTGCTAGCTTCCTTCTTTGTTCAGGTTGCTGTGGGTTAAAGCCTGGGTAGTGATTCTCTCAATGCAAGTGGGGTTCTCTTGGCAGGGGCTGTTTTAGAAGCAGTGGAGAGGAGAAAGTTCTAATGTTCCTAGCAGTGGAGGAGAAAGTTCTAATGTTCTAATGTTCTAATCTTCAATAGCCACCGTGCTGTCTACCTCCCCCAAGATTCTCCTCCTCCTGTTCTCTGTCTGTACTGTACTGTACTCCCATGCTTCCTGCATGTAATTCTCTGCTTACGTACTGCACGTGTTCCCATGTTTCTTAGCCCTGCCTGGTGTCTGTCCTCCTTATTCTCCTCCTCGCTATCTTCCCCTTTGTGCCACAACCCATTGCCAAACTTCAGCATGGGAGGACCTCTGGGTGCACATGCTATGTGGCAGTGTCTACTGTTAAGGCGCCTCATGGGTCATCTCTTGTCTTGCGGTTCTTATTCTTACGATCCCAGATGGCAGCACAGGAGGACCTCTGGGCGCACATGCTATGTGCCAGTGTGTACGAGGGCAGGTGGATACCCCGGGACTTCCCTCAGGAGAATCATGTCACCGTCATGGCTGTGAGTACCCTCCCTCCCGGGCCCATTAGCTTTGTCTGCTCAGCTTCTGCTACACCCCGAACCAGACTCACTGTCGTGGTTGTGTTGTGAGTGGCTCTTCCCTGCTGTGCTTCCCTTGGGGAGTATTCAATCCCCATGGGTGCATGCATGTAAGCAGCTGTGCACATGCGGAAGGACTGCATGGGTGCAGTGCTATGTGTGCTTGGATGGGTCAAGATAGGAGCTCTGTCTGCCCCCTCTCCCGCCTCACCACATCCTTTCCCAAGGCCCCTTTCTCCTCTCACACGCCCCTCACCTTCTCACACCACACTATGGAATTCCTTGATTCCTCCTTCTTCTCCCCTTCCCCCCTTCTCCCCTCCTCCCCTCTCCCCACACGGCACACCTCCCCCCTCAACCCTTTTCACTTCTCTTCTCTCCTTTATCCCAACTCCCCACGTGGCACACCACCGCTTTCTCCCCCACACCAGATGGAGGACTTTTACCACCGCGCGTCCACGTGTGCGCGCACCGTGCGCCCCAAGGAATTCACCATCATCTCAGCCACATTCTCCCGTGCAGCTCACGTGTCTCCCTTTTTCCCTCTTCCCCTCCCGCTCTTCCCCTCGCTCCCTGCCAACCACCAGATAGAGGACTTTTACCACCGCGCGTCCAACTGTGCGCGCACCGTGCGCCCCAAGGAGTTCACCATCATCTCAGCCGCATTCTCCCGCGCTGCTCACGCGTCTCCCTTTTTCCCTCTTCCCCTCCCGCTCTTCCCCTCGCTCCCTGCCAACCACCAGATAGAGGACTTTTACCACCGCGCGTCCAACTGTGCGCGCACTGTGCGTCCCAAGGAGTTCACCATCATCTCAGCAGCCTTCTCCCGCGCTGCTCATGCGGTCATGGACGCTCCATGCCCCCCCCTTTCCCTCTCCTCCGCCTCCTCTCTCGTCGACCTCCTCTTCGGATTCTCCCCGGTTGATCTGGAGGATTCGGGTAAGGATGAGAGGAACCGGGGAGGGGTGAGCAGGCGGGGAAGGGACCAGGGGTGGGATGAGAGAGGGGAGAGGGAGGAGAGGAGGGGAAGGGAGGGGAAGCGGAGAGATCAGAAGCGAGGGAGGGAATGGAGTGATGATGGTGGTGGTGATGAAGGTTTGGGAGGGAATGGGGACCGTTTTGCTGGAAGAGGGGCAGGAATGCGGGTGGGAGGGAGGCAAGGCAGACGGGACGACGATCGGTGGAATGGTGGTGAGGAGAGGGGGATAGGAGCAGGTGCGGCGGAGGAGCGAGGTGTGGGGGATAGGTGGAGGGGTGTGGTGGAGGAGGAGGAGGATTGGAGGACGCGGCCTGTGTCTGACTTTGTGTCAAGGGAGTCTACAGGACGGAAGGTGGCTCGCATTTCAGGTGTGGTGACCGTGTGCTTGCCTGTGCGGTGACCTTGTGCTTGCCTGTGCGGTGACCTTGTGCTTGCCTGTGCGGTGACCGTGTGCTTGCCTGTGCGGTGACCTTGTGCTTGCCTGTGCGGTGACCGTGTGCTTGCCTGTGCGGTGACCTTGTGCTTGCCTGTGCGGTGACCGTGTGCTTGCCTGTGCGGTGACCGTGTGCTTGCCTGTGTGGTGACCGTGTGCTTGCCTGTGCGGTGACCGTGTGCTTGCCTGTGCGGTGACCGTGTGCTTGCCTGTGTGGTGACCGTGTGCTTGCCTGTGCGGTGACCGTGTGCTTGCCTGTGCGGTGACCGTGTGCTTGCCTGTGTGGTGACCGTGTGCTTGCCTGTGCGGTGACCGTGTGCTTGCCTGTGCGGTGACCGTGTGCTTGCCTGTGCGGTGACCGTGTGCTTGCCTGTGCGGTGACCGTGTGCTTGCCTGTGCGGTGACCTTGTGCTTGCCTGTGCGGTGACCTTGTGCTTGCCTGTGCGGTGACCGTGTGCTTGCCTGTGCGGTGACCGTGTGCTTGCCTGTGCGGTGACCGTGTGCTTGCCTGTGTGGTGACCGTGTGCTTGCCTGTGCGGTGACCGTGTGCTTGCCTGTGCGGTGACCGTGTGCTTGCCTGTGTGGTGACCGTGTGCTTGCCTGTGCGGTGACCGTGTGCTTGCCTGTGCGGTGACCGTGTGCTTGCCTGTGCGGTGACCGTGTGCTTGCCTGTGTGGTGACCGTGTGCTTGCCTGTGCGGTGACCTTGTGCTTGCCTGTGCGGTGACCGTGTGCTTGCCTGTGTGGTGACCGTGTGCTTGCCTGTGCGGTGACCGTGTGCTTGCCTGTGCGGTGACCGTGTGCTTGCCTGTGTGGTGACCGTGTGCTTGCCTGTGCGGTGACCGTGTGCTTGCCTGTGCGGTGACCGTGTGCTTGCCTGTGCGGTGACCGTGTGCTTGCCTGTGCGGTGACCGTGTGCTTGCCTGTGTGGTGACCGTGTGCTTGCCTGTGCGGTGACCGTGTGCTTGCCTGTGCGGTGACCGTGTGCTTGCCTGTGTGGTGACCGTGTGCTTGCAAGAGTGGTGACCGTGTGCTTGCCTGTGCGGTGACCGTGTGCTTGCCTGTGCGGTGACCGTGTGCTTGCCTGTGCGGTGACCGTGTGCTTGCCTGTGCGGTGACCGTGTGCTTGCCTGTGTGGTGACCGTGTGCTTGCCTGTGCGGTGACCTTGTGCTTGCCTGTGCGGTGACCGTGTGCTTGCCTGTGCGGTGACCTTGTGCTTGCCTGTGCGGTGACCTTGTGCTTGCCTGTGCGGTGACCGTGTGCTTGCCTGTGTGGTGACCGTGTGCTTGCCTGTGCGGTGACCGTGTGCTTGCCTGTGCGGTGACCGTGTGCTTGCCTGTGCGGTGACCGTGTGCTTGCCTGTGTGGTGACCGTGTGCTTGCCTGTGCGGTGACCTTGTGCTTGCCTGTGCGGTGACCGTGTGCTTGCCTGTGTGGTGACCGTGTGCTTGCCTGTGCGGTGACCGTGTGCTTGCCTGTGCGGTGACCGTGTGCTTGCCTGTGTGGTGACCGTGTGCTTGCCTGTGCGGTGACCGTGTGCTTGCCTGTGCGGTGACCGTGTGCTTGCCTGTGCGGTGACCGTGTGCTTGCCTGTGCGGTGACCGTGTGCTTGCCTGTGCGGTGACCGTGTGCTTGCCTGTGCGGTGACCGTGTGCTTGCCTGTGCGGTGACCGTGTGCTTGCCTGTGCGGTGACCGTGTGCTTGCCTGTGTGGTGACCGTGTGCTTGCCTGTGCGGTGACCGTGTGCTTGCCTGTGCGGTGACCGTGTGCTTGCCTGTGCGGTGACCGTGTGCTTGCCTGTGTGGTGACCGTGTGCTTGCCTGTGCGGTGACCGTGTGCTTGCCTGTGTGGTGACCGTGTGCTTGCCTGTGCGGTGACCGTGTGCTTGCCTGTGCGGTGACCGTGTGCTTGCCTGTGTGGTGACCGTGTGCTTGCCTGTGCGGTGACCGTGTGCTTGCCTGTGCGGTGACCGTGTGCTTGCCTGTGCGGTGACCGTGTGCTTGCCTGTGCGGTGACCGTGTGCTTGCCTGTGCGGTGACCGTGTGCTTGCCTGTGCGGTGACCGTGTGCTTGCCTGTGCGGTGACCGTGTGCTTGCCTGTGCGGTGACCGTGTGCTTGCCTGTGTGGTGACCGTGTGCTTGCCTGTGCGGTGACCGTGTGCTTGCCTGTGCGGTGACCGTGTGCTTGCCTGTGCGGTGACCGTGTGCTTGCCTGTGCGGTGACCTTGGGCGAGCTTGTGCGGTGATCTTGCATGCCTGCGTGTCTCCGCCTTTGCCTTTCATTGTGGAACGCTGCTGTTCCGTTGTTCTCGCCCACCACCCTCTCCCCCTTCCCGCTTCCCCCCTCCCCCACCCCTCCCTCCTCCTTCCCCCCATTCCTCACCTTCTTTCTCTCGTTCTTTCTTTATCTCTCTTTTTCTTTATCTCTCTTTTTCTTTATCTCTCTTTTTCTGTCTCTCCCTCTATTTGTGTAGATGTGTTTCCTCCACCCCCCCTCTTCCATCTACACGGTTAACCAATCTCCACTGTCCCACCATTCCTGTTTTCCAGATTACCATCGCTCGGCCAACATGCACCGGAGTGACAACCACCATGTCCCTGCCGCTGCCACTGCTGCGCCTCTACAAGGCGCATGGGCAATGCGTCATGCACCAGTTCACGAGCATCACACACCTACTCTCGGGACTTCAAATCTGTTACCAACAACTCACACTCCTCATGCATCCCACATTGCTGCGAGATCCTATGCGGTCCCTCACAACCTGCCAGCAGGTGCAGTGCTGCTGCAGCAACATGTGGTTGCGACACGGCCAGGAGGCGGATATCTCACTTCACAGCAAACACTCCAGCACGGGCAGCAGCAGCAGCAGACAGCACAGTATGGGCAGCAGTTGCCGTTTCCCATGCACCTGCAGCAGCCAGTTCCAGTGCAGCAGTCGATTCAGTTTCGGCAGCAGCTTGGTGCGCTGCCCTTGCAGGTCCTTGCAGCACAGGGGGTTCTCGCTCCGCCTTTAGATCACCGCAGCCGATACACTCGACAGTAGCAGCAAGTTGCGACTGAGAAGCAACTATGCGGTGTTGACAACAAGGTGAATTGAGAATTGGGAGCTTTTGAGATGCTGGTGTTCCTGTGGCTGTGTTGGCCCCTATCTGAACCATTTTGGCTGGCTAGAAAACACTCGGTGAAGAGATACCGCTGATGTAGACATAGATTTAAATGTCAAATTATGCACTTATGTTGCTGTCGGCTATACTGGGGTACAACATAGAGGGGATAACCCGTTAGGGTTTCATACTTGTATCTCCTTTGTTCTTAGTCACACATCATTCCTGCACGTTATTTTGACAGTAAAGATTCAGTGTTATCATATTGTATGCTGCTTCATTCCATGAATATAGTATAAGAGAAAGTTCTCCAATAGTTGTGTGGGTGCTACTAGAGTACCGTACGTGTCAATTCACAACGGTAAATGGAAGGAGGGGAACGCTTACGAGCCAAAGCAATCATACAATGGAGAAAGGCGCGAACAAAGGTAAAATGGAGTGGCAAGCGAGCTTACAACATGCAAGTTCACAACGGTGATTGAAAAGGTAGCCTGTTTGCCATGCTGTTCCTGTCTGTACCATTTGTGGAGGCAGACTGGCGATAAGGGAATTAACTTCCTTACATCACCACAGAATATTGTTTTTAACAGGCTACCTGTTGGAAACACTTCCAGCGTGTTTTGTAAGGAATTTTCTCGAATTCCTTATCGGGGTTGACTGCTTCGCGTACAACCCGATTTTCGGACTTTGCACGTTCGGCCGATTTCAACGCTGCCGAGGCTCCTCGCGTCGCCTTCGGCATTTTCCCATCGCCAAACCTGCACCCAACCTCGCTCGTCCGAGGTTCCCTCCTAGCTAGGCTAGCCCTACATTAGTCTGTGCATTCATTGTATTCTCAGTTCATTCAGTCACAGCCTCGTTATTCGTTTACCTGCGCACTCTCTTTTACAACTCATAACACCTGGTATCAGAGCTACTTTCCTAGTTCACCTCACTTTTCGAGGGTAGTTTGGTGGCACGGGTGTGGTTGGTTTAGTGACTACACGACCAGTTGGCTGCAGGGATTGTTAGATCAATCCTGCCCGACTCCGATAGATCGTGTTTTCACTTGCCTGGAGGCCACGGGTACCCGACTGCCCACCAGACGTAGTGCTAGGCACATGGATCAGGAGGATGTCAACAGGTTGATGGCGCAAGTGGCAGAAATGAAGCAGAGCATGGAGTCGTTAATGGCGGAAGTGACAACACTGCGTGGAGAAAACGCCGAGCTACGCCAGACGCGAGGTGAAGCGCGTCAGGAGTCGCCCGTCGAAGAAGGCGAGGGCAACAGTCAGGCGATGAGCAATCCGCTGGATGCGCTCACACGTGACTTCGAAGAAGAAGATAGGCAGCGAGCGGCAGCAGCGCCAGTTGCAGTAACGACGATCAAGATCAAGCCCGCCAACCCACCCCCGTTTAATCCTACGGACAAGACGACTACAGTGAAGGGGTGGCTGTTCGGTGTCGAGGTCTTCTTCACGGCAGCAGGCGTTAACGACGATGCCACGCGTATTAATTACTCGGTTTCGATTCTTCGAGGTGCAGCGCTTGAATGGTGGCGCCGGACCTTGGAAACGGGGACGCCGACAGGTGTGACACATGCGGCAGACGGGACCTCTACAGTGGTTAATCGAGTGGCAGAACCGATCTTCGGTGTGACCAAGATACGCACATGGAAGGAGTGGGGCACAGCCTTACGAGATCGCATGGTCGCAGATGGCTTCTGTCCAAGACTACACGGCGTCATTTATGGCCTTCGCCAACCAAATTGACGATATCCGTACATCAGCGGCCTTAAATACGAGATACAGTACGAGGTTCGCAGGGGCCGCCCGACATCGTTTCTTGAAGCAGTACGGCTGGCGGAGTCAACAGATGCGCTGATGCAGTACGCGAGAGCAGCTTCCAGGTATGGAAACCGCTTTCGTAACCAGACCCATCGGGCCACGATCAACGCCGTCCATACAACCGACCGCCCTCCTATGGGTCCGTGTTTTCGGTGTGGGAAGGTGGGTCACTACAGGAAAGACTGCCAGGAGAAAATGCCGCTAACAGGGAACGACAGGAAGGAGCAGGGAAATGGGAAGAGTCAGTAATTAGCGGGCCCTTTACTGACTGTGCTCCGTCGCCCGAACACCATCATCCCCACCGAGTCGTGGTTCCGATTCATGCAATCGATCGCACTCGGCCGAATAACGGGGATAATCATGTGGATCACCCTGTGCTGGTCGCTGGCAAGGTGTCAAAACATAATTTAAAAATGTTCGTCGATGGGGGGGCCAGCCATAGCCTCTTCAATTTGGCGAGCGCAAAAAGGTGCAAGCTGTAACTCGACAGGTGTCTGCCCGAAATTGACGCCCGCCTCGTGGATGGGACGCCTCTGGCGATAACGGAAGAAACACGAACGGCCAGGATCGAATGCGGCGACGATTTCGGCTTCAGCATGAAGTTTCTCGCGACGACCCTGGACGGCTGCGATGTGCTGCTTGGGCATGATTGGCTGCGACGACACAACCCCGTCATCGACTGGACCACGGGATCGTGCTGTGTCAGCAAGCACGACGGGCTCGTTAAACTGCCTGCATGGACACCTGACTACATCCAAGCCCCGTGCGTCAAAGCTATCACTATAGCTCGCCACTTCAACAAGGGCGCACAGCTGTTCGCTGTCTGCTTACGCGAGTTGGCAGTCGACACCGACGGAAAGGACATCGAGCTGCTGTGTGCAGCTGTACCTCCGGATTTAGCGGAGCTAATTCGACAGTACCCCGACATTTTCCCGGACGATCTGCCACCTGGACTGCCACCCGAGAGACCCGAAGACCACAAAATCCAGCTGGAACCTGGCGCGCAACCAACTGTTCGGACACAGTGGCGGTTGACCCAGCCGGAACTCGAGGAGCTGCGCCGACAAATTGACGCACTGTTGGAAAAAGGGTTCATTCGGCCAAGCACCTCCCCGTTCGCGGCACCGATCCTGTTCACTCCGAAGAAGGACGGCGGGCTTCGCATGTGCATCGACTATCGCGCGTTGAACCGGGTGACCATCAAATCTCGCTACCCAATCCCACGCACCGACGACCTCCTCGACCAACTTCGCGGCGCTCGCTATTTCTCGAAGATTGACTTATGTGGCGGTTACCACCAGATTCGAGTCTTCGCCGATGATTGTCACAAGGCTGCGTTTCGCACACGCTACGGGAGTTACGAATTTACAGTGATGCCTTTCGGCCTCACGAACGCGCCTTCGACATTCCAACTGACCATGAACAGGGTTTTTCGGGATCTTCTAGACCGATGTGTCATCGTCTACTTGGACGATATCCTCATTTTTAGCAAGACACGGGAGCAACATCTACGCGACTTGGACGTCGTGTTTAAACGGTTGCAGGAGAACCGCCTCATCACCAAGGGTTCTAAGTGTAATTTTTTAAGCAGGAGTTGGAGTTTTTAGGCCACGTCATTTCCCGCGACGGCATTAAAATCGACCCGGCGAAACTTAGGACCATACAGGAGTGGAAGTCCCCGACTAATGTCACGGAACTTCAGAGCTTTCTGGGATTCGTAAATTATGTACGGCGGTTTATCCCGAATATGGCAGGGATAACCGGCCCGCTGACCGACCTGCTGCACAAGGACAAGAATTTCGTGTGGGGGGAGGAGGCAGAGGCGGCTTTCCAGGAGCTCAAGAATTTTCTCGTTTCCCCTCCTGTGCTGCGCATCGCCGACCCATCAAAGCCGTTCGAAGTCGTAACCGACGCCTCTGATTTCGCCATCGGAGCTGTGCTACTCCAAGATTTCGGGAACGGGCTGCAGCCGATCGCCTACAAATCACGCAAGTTGCAGGCAGCCGAACGCAACTACCCGATCCACGACAAGGAGATGCTCGCCATCATCCACGCGTTCAAACTGGGGCGCTGCTACTTGGTGGGCGCCGACGTCACTGTGCGCACGGACCACAAGTCCCTACAGTACCTGCGAGCCCAGCCCAACCTCAACCCGCGACAAATTCGGTGGCTGGACTACATGGAAAGCCATTTCACCTACCGAATCATGTACAAACAAGAAGGGGGCGAATAACATCGCCGATGCCGTGACCAGACCGACAGTACAATCCGCTGCAGTACTCATCACTCATTCGAACCCATTACTTACCGGACTATTCACCCACGGCTACACTACGGACCCGTTCTTCACGACCGGGAATCACCAGCAGGCCACGACGCAGAAAGGGGATTATTACCTAAAAGTCGGAACCGACCGGATTTGGGTTCCCGCTTACCGGCTGCTGCGTGAACTCCTTATCCAGGAGGTCCACGATTCGAACTTCTCCGGACACTTCGGGGTTGACAAAACCCAGAAATTACTGCACTGTCAATATTATTGGCCCGACTCCTCTAACGACGTACAGCGCTATGTATCCTCATGCAGGGTGTGCCAAGTAGACGGAGCCACCCGAACGACCGTGGCAACAGGTGACGATGGATTTCGTCACGGGGATGCCAGCTGGGCCGTCCGGCAACGACGCTGTTCTCGTCGTCGTCGATCGCTTCACGAAAATGGCGCACTTCGCCCCATGCCGAACGACAATCACAGCCGAAGAAACTGCGCGCCTCTTCATCTCAACGGTCGTGCGACTGCACGGCATCCCTTCGGCGATCATCAGCGATCGAGACCCGAAGTTTACATCGAAATTCTGGAAGGAGACGTGGGCGCAGTACGGCACGAAGCTACAGTTCTCGTCGGCATATCACCCACAGACGGACGGCCAAACCGAAAGGACCAATCAAACCATGGAGCAGCTGATCAGGACAAACTGCCCCGACCCCGCACGATGGGAAGATTCCCTCGCCATGTTGGAGTTCGCCTTCAACAACGCACCGTCAAGCACGACTAATCACTCCCCGTTTTTTTTTAACTACGGGATGGATCCGACGGTACCCAGAGCAACTTCTCTCGACAACCCCGTCCCGAGATCACAAACTTTTGTGACAGAACTCCAAAGCATC